GAAGTGGCCCCCCTTGTTCCCTGTAGACACTGCCATGGCAGGGGCATTAAGCATCAGCGGGTTTGCTCTCCTCTGTATGGGCTGTTACTGACTCAAACCCCTTTCTATGTCATTAGCCATAGCTTTTTGCAGTCTGAACATGTCTATCATTATAAATAATGGTTAATAGTAAGTGAAGTAAAGTTCCTATATGTCTTTGGATAAAACGTTAACTATTGCGGTACTATCATTTATATCAATTAGACTACAACAATTATACCACCCTGTAACTAAAATGAACAACCAGTAGTGGCTGGGTTAATAAAACATGTCACAAACCCTTCTAATGCTAAACCATCATTTAACGTAAAGGATGTTACTGTAAACATACGATCTGTAACTAGCAAGATTCGATTAAGTAAAGATACAATGTTTAAAATAACTTGCATTATTTAGCTATTTCCCTTGTTGTAAGATGAAGCTGGATAATCAGCTGTTATGCTCTTATATTCGTGTCCAACAGATCTCATTTGTAGGTCACACCACAGTTGCAAATTACATTTTAGCAACCTTCTTTTTTTTTTTATATCACGGACACATTGTTGATACAGGGAAACAAATGGCATGATTGTTTTAGTAATTATAATGTTTCTGTTCATAATATGTAGAGTGTAAGGAAAACAACATGTCTCTAAATGGGACGAGCATAATAGGGGTAGGCCTCATGATGGAGGCAGCCATGACAGGGGCGGGGAAGGAAATGACAGCAAGGGAGGAAGTGAGAGGGGTGACGTCCATGATATGTGTGGGAAAGGAAGACAGGAGGTGTGGGCATGGTAAGGGCGGAAGTGACGTCACTTTAGAAGCAACCGTGACTGTAGATAGGTCACGGGACTGGCAGGGTCAACCTCCTTCTGTACTAGGCGCCATCTTTAGGGTGGTGGCTGATGCACTTTCAACCATACACTATATTATAACTATTAAAATAAGTCAGAGAAGCAACATTCCGTTCTGCAAAATGAAATACTAAACTATGAACAGACCTGGCAGGTTAAATAAGACAGTTGAGAACATTATGCATTTAACAGCCCATACAGCTGTTTCTAGAAACATGTACTTTAAAATAACTTTAAAATAATAAAATGATGCAAAATAAACTCACGGAATTCAACCAATTTCCCTTATCTTCCTCAAACCATTAATCACTTTCCTCCTCTTATACTGACTTAACAACATCGCATATTCCCTCTACACCTTCCTAAATCCCGTATTCAACACTGAATGCAATCTTGTGAGCTCGTCACTCCCACAATCCTCAGTACCTTATACTCTTATCAGTAGAAATGCAGGCAAGCGGGGAGGAGAGGGGGGGAGAAAGTTAGACAGTGCAAAAAAAGGGAGTGAAGCTGCAGGCATGAAGATTAACCATGTGAGTGCTGGAAAGTAACAAGACAGAAGGACAGAGACTTATACGTTTGGAAACCAGAAATCTTTGACGGGAGAAACGGACTGGAGGTGCAGGGAGCTGCAGAGAGAGGATGAGGGTGACGAGATCTGTAGGACTGATGGGGGGGGGGAGAATAGGGATCCATCAGCATCCAGTGACACAATTATTATAATACACAAACAATCTTAAACCTTTATGATTTATCTCTTCCTCTACCCAACCCTCCTGCTGGATAGCCTTTGCTACTCTGTACCATGCTTCAGCAGTACGTAATAAATCATTATCTGTAAGCTTGCCTTTCTTCTCTGTCAGTAATCTACGCCAGCTTTCTGGCTGTAATCTACCACATGAAGGCACAGCAATTTTACACACTTTAGCAATCTTTGCAACATTTTTAACCAGTTCTTCACCTTCTCTATCTTCAACTAAATCACACGCGAGCCAGCCCCTAGCGGGCTTACTCGTTTCCTGTCCCATATCCCCCTATACAAAGCGTCCCAAGTATAGGTAAAGGAAAATGAAACAGAACGTCTACAATGCTCGACTGCCACTAGGAAGGGTGGGGTGGGTCCCTCCCAGTGTGTCTTCCCAAAACGTAGACCAGTCACTGAATCCGTGTACCCTCGATGGTAACCACGGATTGGAGCGGGGTGAGAAGTGTGTGACCAATCACTTCTCTTTCAAGAGAAATAGGAGTGGATAGTGTAAATAGTACAGGAAGTAAAGTAAAAGTAAACAGTGAAAGTAGAGACAGACCCAGGAGTTTGAATGACTCCACACTTAAAACAACATTTAATACAACATTTCAATTGAAATACAGTGCATGCATCAACAGTAATCCCTTTCCTTTACTCTTGTGGCCACCAAAGCCACCTCCCTCAACCTCGTAGTGTCCCCGCTCGGAGAACAACTTTCGTAAGTTTCACTACCAGCGGCCAAGGATAACGACTAACACCGGCCCGAAATCCATATGCCTCCCTCGTTACAGCAGTCCACTAAGTGTGGCCACCTCTATCCTCACTCCCGTAGTGCTCCCTATGGACCCACCCACAAGTCACACTACCCCGTGGTGATGGAGACAACAATGCCTGCCCGAATCCACACACCACAAATAAATTGGAATGCCACCAGCCTCAGCGCTCGAAGCTGGAGGGTACCATAACCTCTGCAAGCAGAGCAACGTACACAATGAGGCTAGCTAGAATATCAAAGTGACGTAACCGGGAAACCCCAGGAGGCAAGTCCCCTCCACAGATCCCCCAACCCTTCTTTTTCCTTACTACTGTTAGCTAGACAGTACCTAAAAGAAGTAAACAGGAAAACAGGACCCCTTTGGAAAATCCCCACAGGTCCACCCCCCCTTTTTTCCCAACAGTCTGGGCCAAGTGACTCCTAAAAAGGGGTAAAAACAGGCAACAGAAGACCCCCAGGCAACCACCCACGGGTCCACCCCCCTTTATCCCTAAAGAGGGAAAGAACAAAACATATACCACTAGCACACCCAGGCAACAGATAGACTAAATGCAGGTAAACAAATGGGTAACAAGACACCGGGCAAGATATTACCTGTCTTTGATGCCCTCCCGGGAAGCAGTCACAGACACGTGGACGGGTCAATCAAAGGGGCTGGAACATACCGGTGGCTCCTGCAGAAGTCTCTACCGTGTACTCAGAGGTGATCAGTCTCTCTTCCTTCCCCCCTGATTCCTCCGTCCAACAGCGTCTTCCTTAGGACGGCTTACCGGCCGGAGGCCATAGCCCGATGCCCCACGTTGGATGGACGCCAGATTGATGTAGATTAATTTAGAAATAAACAAAAATGTTTAAAAGTCTATCTGTTCCTGTCCAAATCTGAGATGAATAAATTGCGTATACGCAGAAGTAAGTTCACACTGACACATGCAGTTCAGGTTAAAAACACTTCAGGAAATTTATTAGCATCTAGTTAAAAAGCGGGCACGCAGGCCTTTTTATATGCAAAATGACATCATCATTGAATATCAGATAATAACAAATAAACATCATTAATTGGGTTAAATGTTAAGTGGCTATGTCAGTGTCCACCCATTAATATTATTAATTGGCTCAGAGATTTGAGTGACTAGTGAGGCACCCTCCCATCATGGGATGTCGTCGCCATTGCTCTTTAGCACGAGGCTTACTCGGTGGAAAGGGGGGGCTTGGGCATCATTTTAAGTAGTTAGTGATGTCAGTCTCGTGGCCTGGTCCAAGGTTCTTTTATGAATAAAACATTTCATTTAGTCGCTGTTCTCCTGGCCTTGGATTATACTATGTTGCAAGTCAACGGAGATCCGCTAACTCCGGGGCTAGTTATGTCCTTAGAGAGAGAAAATACAATCTCTTATTCATTATATTGAATACCGTCATGTAAGGTGAACAAAATGGAGTGTTCTGTCACAGTGTGAGATTAAAATGGAGTTAGTACAATAATTCAATACAGGTTCAGTAAAGATTTTAATAATTCTACATCATAAGTACAAGTAGGACATTTCTGTTTCAAAATATATATTTTTAAAATTTATCAATAGTGATATTGTAACACTGTTATCTGTCATAAATCTCTGCATCACACTTCACATGTACATAGATTTTTAAAGCAGACAACCCAGGGTATTCAATATGAGGTATGTTCAGGCTTTTTTGGTAGCCACTTAGTCACAAACACTGGCTAAAGTTAGCATTTATATTTGTTTGTGTGTTAAAAATGCAAAAAGGGGAGAATTGGCTGTGGAACCGAACATACGTACTCTGTAAGAGCTCATGGGCACAACAGCTGGACCAAAATGTAGCTCTCCCCGGGGACTACCTCAGATCTGGCACCTGCAAACAAAAACGGAAAACAAGCGGATAGGTCAAGATAGCTCACTCAAAGCTAAGTGGCATCCAGTTCAAGCCATGCAGGACGGCACAAGAGGTCTAGCACTGGGACTCTCACAGTGTTGGAGGTACCGGGGGAAACCCCCTCACACTATATGGCTATGGCTGAACTTGAGGGCCTGCATGGACATTATGCACAAGGAAGATGGAAGCCCAGCCAGGGAATCGGCTGACTTTCTAACTTTGGGAGCTGGCTGCCAGCCAAGAGAAGTCTTCAGACAGGGACTCTAACCTAGGCTGCTGACAACCCAGCGGCACAAGAGCGACAAAATTTTATAAGGGTTAAAGCTGTTATTATATTATTAGCTCGGACAGGTGACCCTAGCTTGCTTTTTTGCCCCCGACTGTTACAACTCTATCCAGACCCTATCCACAGTTTATCCCACTCAGGGAAAGCGTAAGCCTAATCATCTTTAACACACTATGTTTTATACTGGTTTTTGGTTTTAATTTCTATCGCCCTACTGAGAGATACCTTTACTTCTTCAGCCTAATCTTATGCTATTTCTCTCATAGTACACAACACTTATTTAAATGTTTTTACAATCTACATGTCAGACATTTCTTTGCAGCTCATGCCTATTTTTTCCCACCAACATGTATACTCAAGCATTTACTAAACTGCAGTAATTTATAGCAAAGCAGTAATTCATCACTTATGTTCAGCCTGTTATTAATTTGTTTGCTTTTGTTTAAAACAGTGCACACACTCATGCCAATGATAAGCCTGTATGCATCTATATGAACGCTGTTGTGGCGCTTGACACAAGCCTGTACTCAAAAACAAAAGTGCGCACATATCTATGCCACTGTTTAGCCTGTTAATATACCAGTGTACGCTGTTGTGGCGTTTGTCAATGTTTTTGTACTCACCTGCGCAACAAAAATAAAGAATTAAAACAAAACAAAAAAACTATTATGCCACTGAAGCCAGTGTTTGTGACTAAGTGGCTACTAAAAAAGACTGAACATACCCCATTTGCAATATCTTGGGTTGTCTTCTTTTGCAAATGATATGCCATCATGGGGGTAATTCTCATTCCTGGGCTACCATATACTCTCAAAGGCAACATAACCAATCTGGCAAATTGATAAAACGTAAAATCAAGCCTTATATTTGACCCTGTAACTTTCAAAACTTCTATAAAACCTGTACATGGGGGTACTATTATTCTCGGGAGTCTTCACTGAACACAAATATTAGTGTTTTAAAACAGTAAAACGTATCACAACAATGATATGATCAGTGAAAGTGCCGTTTGTGTGTGAAAAATGCAAAAAACGTCATTTTCACTGACAATTTCATCGCTGTGATATGTTTTACTTTTTTGAAACACTGACATTTGTGTTCAGGGAAGTTTTCCGAGTAAAACAGTACCCCATGTACAGGGTTTAGGGTGTCATGGAAAGTTACAGGGTTAAATACAGCGCTAACAAATAACATTTTCTGGACCTCTGGCCTGGGTTGTCAGGCAGGTCCCTCAAATTGCAATCAATAAAATTACTTAATTATGTAAAAAATTACATAAATATGCACGTAGAATTTAAATATATATACATATTTATATATTTTAAGTCCACATATATATTTATGAAATTATTTATGTAATTATGGATATCTATATATACATATAAATATTTCGTATTATTTTTATTTATATATACATAGATATAAATATAATTTCATTCTAAGTGCATGTTGATATAAATATATATATTAATATCAAAATACAGTTAGAATAAAATTACATATATATATATATATATATATATAATTTTAATTTTTTATTTATTTGTGTTTACTTATTATATTTTATTATATATATATATATATATATAAAATATATATAGCGATTTTTTTAAAATATATATATATATATACACATGTGTAATTTAACTATAAGTGTATTTTTATATTAATATAAAAATACACTTAGTATGACATTATATATATATATATATATATATATATATATATATACAAGATATATATATATATATGTATATACACTAAACAAAATTATAAACGCAACACTTTTTTGTTTTTGCCTTCATTTTACATGAGCTGAACTCAAAGGTTTAAAAATAATATCCTGAAGTATTACTTTACTGAGAGGGCAGTGGATGCATGGAAAAGGCTTCCAGCTGAAGTGGTAGATGTTAACACAATAAAGGAGTTTAAGCATGCGTGTGATATGCATAAGGCTATCCTAACTATAAGATAAGGCCAGGGACTAATGAAAGTATTTTTAAAAATTGGGCAGACTAGATGGGCCAAATGGTTCTTATCTACCGTCACATTCTATGTTTCTAAGATCTAAGACTTTTTCTATGTACACAAAAGGCCTATTTCTCTCAAATATTTCTGCCAGTTTGTGCAGAAATTCTTTGGTAATGCAAACCGATTTTTGCAGCAGCTGTCCGGGTGGCTGGTATCAGATGATCTTGGAGGTGAAAATGCTGGATGTGGAGGTCCTGGACTGGTGTGGTTACTCGTGGTCTGCAGTTGTGAGGCCGGTTGGATGTATTGCCAAATTCTCTGAAACGCCTTTGGAGACTGCTTATGGTAGAGAAATGAACATTCAATCCACTGGCAACATCTCTGGTGGACATTCCTGCAGTCAGCATGCCAATTGCACGCTCCCTCAAAACTTGCAACATCTGTGGCATTGTGCTGTGTGATAAACCTGCACATGTTAGAGTGGCCTATTATTGTGACCAGCCTAAGGCGCACCTGTGCAATAATCAGCATCTTGATATGTCAGGTGGATGGATTATCTCGGCAAAGGAGAAGTGCTCACTAACACAGATTTAGATAGATTTGTGAACAATATTTGAGAGAGATAGGCCTTTTGTGTACATAGAAAAAGTCTTAGATCTTTGAGTTCAGCTCATGAAAAATGGGGGCAAAAACAAACTTTTGCGTTTATCATTTTGTTCAGTATATATATATACATATATATACAGCCAAAAGTATAAGCACTCCAGGGACTTCCAAGTCGAATGAATAAAACTTAGCTTTTATTAGCTCAAAATTTGTATTTTTATTTTGAGTTAATAAAAGCTAAGTTTTATTAATTCGACTTGGAAGTCCCTGGAGTGCTATCTTATACTTTTGGCTGTATCTGTTTGCTGATGAGCACCGGGCAAGTACATCAAGGAAGGTGGAGTGCATTACTATTTTTGTTTTATTTATATATATTTATATATATATATTATCTGTAATAAATCTCTGAATCACACCCCACATGTACATATTTTTTTAAAAGTAGACAACCCAGGGTATTCAATATGGGGTATGTCCAGTCTTTTTTAGTAGCCACTTAGTCACAAACACCAGCCAAAGTTAGCGTTCATATTGGTTTGTGTGTGAAAAAAAGTAAAAAACTATATTGAACTCTAATTTTGGCCAGTGTTTGTGACTAAGTGGCTACTAAAAAAAAACTGGACATACCCCATTTTCAATACCTTGGGTTGTCTTCTTTTGCAAATGGTATGCCATCATGGGGGTAATTCTCATTCCTGGGCTACCATATGCTCTCAAAGGCAACATAACCAACCTGGCAATTTTCAATGTAAAAATATTTGACCCTTATATTTGACCCTGTAACTTTCAAAAACGCTATAAAACCTGTACATGGGGGTTACTGTTATACTCGGAGACTTTGCTGAACACAAATATTAGGGTTTCAAAACAGTAAAACGTATCACAGCAATTATATCATCAGTAAAAGTGCTGTTTGTGTGTGAAAAATGCAAAAAAAGTCACTTTCACTGACAATATCATCGCTGTGATATGTTTTACTATTTTGAATCACTAATATTTGTGTACCAGCAAAGTCTCCTGAGTAAAACAGGTTTTAGGGTGTCATAGAAAGTTACAGGGTTAAATACCGTGCTAGCAAATTAAATTCTCTGGGCTCTCGGCCTGGGTTGTCCGGCAGGTCCCTCAAATTGCAATCAATAAAATGTCTTAATTATGTAAAAATATTACATAAATACGCATGTAGAATTTAAATATATATGCATATTTATATATTTGAAGTCTACGTGTATATATATAATTATTTATGTAATTTTTTATATGGACATATGTATATTTCGTATTATTTTTATTTATTTATATATATACATAGATATATATACAATTTCGTTCTAAGTGTATTTTGATATAAATATATTTGTGTACGGCACATTTCGAGGGCGTAAGGATCAATAATAAAGAAGCAATAGTAGTAAGAGCAAAGTCAGTTGAGGTGTGCCGAAACTGACGTGAGGTTAGACCTGTAAAAGAGGACCCACCCAGGTGATATGAGACTAAATAGAGGGTGCGGTGGGAGCATCACTTCCGAGATCGTCGACGACAGGTAAGCAGGGGCTCACTTGGTTTAAGTAGGGTTCCATGTACCACCCACAATTACAGGCCAAGCCTTCTATTTGTGTACGGCACAAGGATCAATAATAAAGAAGCAATAAGAGCAAAGTCAGTTGAGGTGTGCCGAAACTGACGTGAGGTTAGACCTGTAAAAGAGGGCAAAAATATAAGAAGCGATTCTTACAAGTCAGATACATTTATTCAGAAGATCATTATTTAGACATTTCAGAGAAAGCCAATCTTATTTCTTTCTCAGGATTGGGGATGTATTTGTTGTCTGCGGATGATTTCCCCCGACCCATATTTTAATGATGTGAGTTGGTACGTGATAACCGGAGGAAGCTGTGGCTGCTCCAATGCGGAATAAATGGCCCGAGAAGGAATGAGGGTTATGTCCTAGTCGGAACGATATCGTACGAATGTAAAGCATAAAACATTTATTGGTTAGGGGTTTCCCTTGAAAGGCTACTAGTGGGGAATCAGAGATGGAAGTGAGTTGAGATTCCAATAGATTATCCAAAACGTGAATAGGACCTGAGGTAGGATAATATTTCATCTCTACTGGAGGACCAGTATGGCTCATTTTGGTATGAGTAATAGACAAATGTGTATGTCTGTGAAGTAAGGTTTGATAGTATTGTAAACTAATTTAGGAGAAAAGTGGCAAAGGTTGTAAATGCGACCATAGTTACAAATAGAAACATTTATCACACAATAAACACGAACAAAACTTTAAACAACTGATACGCTCTTGGAATAGGCTTTCTTAAATTAAGGTATAAACCAGCCTGTGCGAGCGACCTACTATGGAGCAACAGAGTATTTAACGCGTAATTAGGACTGTGAAACTTGGAGGCTCCTTGGGCTGCGAGTTTGCTGATGGATGACCTCTGAAAAATTCCTGCAAATTAGAGTGTGGGAGAGCGTCAGCTGCGTTATCCTGAATATCCCGAACGTGAACATAAGTTATGCAGAACTGAAAATTTGCCGCTAGCCAGGTAAGACTCCTTACCAAGTCCATAATCGAGAGGGACTGAGAGCGGCATTTGTTAACGATATTACATGTCGCTAAGATATTAGAAAAGCATCTAGGAGCCAGGTTTAAGGTTTCGGCGAACATTTTGCATAACTTGGGCTACATATGGAGCCGAATGTTGGTCTGGTAACGAAATAGTGGCTGACTTCCCACTTAACTCCATGCAGATGCCAGATTAACTGAAGAATGGGTAGTAATTTACAAGTGTTAGTAAAGTTTGATTTACATAACCAGGCAGCCTTCTCGGAATGAATGATTGCTTGTATGGCCTCGTCAATTCTGGCGAACTGAAGGAAAACTTATGACGGGGACAGTGTATTTAAGCTAGGAGAAGTGGGTGAGTGAGGTGCAGAAAAATCAAATGATAAGTCTCTTTAAAATGTAAAATTCCCTGAGGCGATGCCTAGGGGTTTGTCCTCCAGGAGGTGAAAAGGTAGTGTTGTGAAAGGCCCTATCAAGAAACCATTGGTG